TTTTTTTTTTTTTTTCTTTTAGGCCATCCAAATAGATACATGCAGCTTGAGTCTAACTGACTTTCAGTTTATTATCCTAGTGCTTGTTCAATCAAAAACATTAGGCAACTGGAATGGAGCAAACTTTTCAACATTTCTCAACAGAAATATTCATTTTAAATTTATTTTTTCTCTATAACACATTTATTATTTTAAAATTTAAAGTAATTTGCATCATAGACCATACTTCATCAGGATAAGTCCATTTTCTACCTCTGATTATGCCAACTTTCCTACTTTGGAAGGGAACAAAGGAAAGACCAAAATCAAAGGCTTTTAGAGCATTTAAGGCATCCAACCTATAACCAATTGGAAATAGGTGCAGAGGCCCACTTTATTTATAAGCCCACATATTATCTCAAGCTTAATCAATGTGGGACTTTCCCACTCCACACAACCCCTTGTGTGTAGATCCAATGGAATGATACATAATGAGCTTGAGAAAGAAGAGAATCTGTGTAACACCTCATATACTTTAGTGAATATATTAGAAATTAGAGTATTTTATTTTAACATTTTAGGGACTAAATTGATTAGAATTAGAATATGTAGACCTTGTGTGAAATTTTGAAATAGTTAGAGACTATCTAACTAAATTAGCCAAATTTGAAAACATGTGGCAACATGACAACCAAGTGTGTTGTCTTGAGTTAGGAAGGTTTTGTGGAGCACCCGAGCTTCTTTTGGAATATTTTAGAAGAAAAAAATAAAATCCCTTTTTTTGCCTTAAGCCTCTCGAACCCATCCTTTCTCTGCATCGTTGCTCTTTATTCCAGCCGGTCGTCTGCATCTTTCTTCCTTTGATTGCCAAGTGGGATGTGTGGAATGCACTCTCCAGTTGAAATCCCTTTCAATTTCCATTGCTCTTTTCAATTTGATGTTTTGATTTTCAAGTAATTATGAGTTTTAGATATAAATTCGGGTTAGAGTTTTGGGTAAATTATAGATTTATTATAATATACTAAAAATTAGTTTAAATTAGGAAATTTTGACTCTAAGTTCTTTGTTTAAGAGATTTTAGGTATTAGAATTTTGTTTATAAATATTTGGATTTTTGGATATATGTACAGTATAGAGTTAGAAGTGGATTTCATTACTATACTTGAATTTTGTGTGAATTTTATTACTAAATAACTAACTATTTTGATATTGGTGTTGCCTTGCTTATTTTGTGGGAAGATTTTTGGTAACTTGCATGAACGAACAATATATGTATATTCAATTGGGAATTTAGGTGCTGTCCATGGCTGCTTGTACTTAGGTTTTTGTTGATTTTTCATACATTAGTTGCATTGTTAAAATAAGAAAACAATTTTGAATTTTGTGGGTGGAATTGTGGATTAGTATTAAGAATTTAAAATGAATTGCTTTAAATTGCATTTGCTTAATTGGATGATTAAGTGTTGTATTTTGTATGTCTTAACCATGAGGTTAAGCTATGTGAATTATGTGGAAATTTAAGTGGATTAATGGATGGAATATTATTCCTACATTATTCTTGGATGTGTTTGGAATTTCTTTGACATGTGCACGTGTTTGTGGTTATGGAATAAGTGGATCTAAATTTAAAACTTGGGGTATTTAGTGGATCCTTAGGGGTATTTAGTAGATCTCTGTGCAATGGGATGAGTGCCGTGATTAGCTCCGGTACAAGTGTTGCTAGTGCATATCAATGGACTCCATAGCATTGTGTGATTTTTGGTTTTATGCATTATGCTTGTGACATCACATTTGTGAACATATGGTTTATGATATAGATTTGATTCAAATGTTATTGGATATTCCTTGACAAGTTTGTTGTGACATCCAATATTATTATTATTTAAATACTAAGATTTATAATATTATGTGACTTGATTTAAATTATCTGTGTGCAGGTCTAACGGTCTTAGGACTCAAATTTGTAGCTCTAATTTAGTACTTACTGGGCTTTTAGCTCATGAAATAAACTGGGCTTTTAGCAATCACCAGCTTGAGAGCTTCAGTATGAGTCCTGTATGCTCCTTGTACATAGAAGTTAGGACCTTAAGGCTTTTGATGTGAAAGTAGATTAATGTATTATCAAAATAACAATTCTGCTTTTATTATTTCAGAAAGTCTTTGAAAAGCATTTGCTTATGTATTTTTTGTGTAAATTACTTTTATGTATTCAATCTATAATCAATGAAAAATAGGCTTAACCTAGTTTATTTTACTATTTTGAGTATTTTGATATTTTCCTTAAGATATTTTCCATTAAATTAGTTTTCATTTACAAGTAATTGTTTTCTTTTCTATGAAGTTTTAAAATGATTTGAAAGTAGGTTTTTCTCATAAAGAAATATATTATACTAAAAGTGTTTTTACTTCCACTGCAATCTTTTTCTATAGATATTTCTTGTTATATTTTTATCTTGTACTGTACATTTACCTACTTTGGTTTATCAAAAGGAGATGTTACAATCTGGCTTTCATATCTTGGTAACAGAGAAGGGAGAAAAGCGTTGAATAATAAGGTAGACATCAAAAGGTGTTCAAACCATGGCATTTTATAAAAGGGGAAAAAAAAGTCCTTTGAGATAGCATAATGCTAAGAAGGGACTGGAGCATATATGGCCCTTATAGATAGATTTTACACATATCACTTGTACAAAATCTAGACCATTCATCTCTTTACTATGAATGGTTGGGATTTATTTGTTTTTTATCTTATTTTTTAAAAGATAATTGTGTTTTTCATCTTAAAAGTCATGATAAATCTCAACCATTCATATTAGAGAGATTAATGTTACATTTGTTAAGAGTTGTGTGTCTTTATATATATAGATAGATAGAAAAAATAGTGAATATCCATGAACTCCTAATCCAAAAGCACCGTTACTCCAATATCTTAGAAAACCAACTATTGGATTTGGGATTGATATCAATATATATATATATATATATATATATATCTACTTACAAACAACTCTTACATATATCACTTAAATAAAATCTTGACCATTCATCTCTTAACCATGAATGGTTGAGATCTATCCACTTTTTATCCTATTTTTAAGGATAATTTTTTTTTCATCTAAAAAATTGTGATAAATCTCAATCATTCATAGTAAAGAGATGAATGGTCAAAATTTTGTATAAGTGATGTGTGTAAGAGTTGTGTAAGAGAATCCTAACTTTAAATAATCACTATCAGATAATTCTGCTTCTTAGTGGTAATGATATTCATGTTGGTTGGAAAGATGTCAGATGCACTTACATATTGAGAAGAGATGGACTTTTTTGTGTGGGAAGAGTGCCATTCAACTTGTTATTTCCAAGAAACCTAAACAATAATGAAGTATTAACACATGCTTCAACATAATAAAGTGAGTTTAAGAGGCATATGAAAAAAGTAACCAGACAAAGATCATATCTTACAAAATAGTTACTGGACTTAAATTGAAAAGTGAGTCTGGAATTTGCCCGGATATATCATTGAAACTCAAATCCCTAGAGGAATAGTAATTTTCATTATAAGAAATATGAAATTACAAAGAATAAATAAATAACAAAATTAAAAAGGAAAATAATACAAATGGAAAGACTTGATTCATGCCCACAGCACCACAACCACCTTTATCACAATAAAAATATTCAAAAATTATAGTAATAATAATAATCAGCTTAATTCAGAGTCTCAAGAGTAAAGTAGTTGCTAGCTTGATTCTAAGCAAACAACTTTAAGCCACAAAAAGTGAAAATAAAAGAAATGAAATTGATGGGAGTTGGGAGATGAGGATATCTACTTATTAATCAAAGGAACTAGAAGATTTGAAACATAAAAACTCGTTGTTTGCTTCAATAGAAGCTCCTAACTCACCCAAGTTTGTAAGGTCACACTATTAAAAAGCTATTTTAGACAAGAATAAAAAGGATAAAAATGTAATAGTAAAGCCAAGTCTACTCCAGCATGATTATGGGTCAAAAGAATCATGTTCTGGTTGCCTAACAAAATATTTGAGGTGGTAGAAATCGGGCCTAATCCATAAATTACATGCTAAAAAAAGATACTATCTATTAAATACTTAATTTTATAAACATTATAAATGGTCTTCTACGAGGTGTTTTGCTATCAAGTTAGAAATGATAAATCAAATAGTCTGCAACCTAATTCAAAGTTCAATTGACTCAAAAAAACCAAATCAATTAGTTTCACTGCTAGCCTAAATTGCATTTAAATTGAAAACCATCAAATGACAATTACTTACAGATATTTTAAATGTTGGTATTCTCCAATATTTGATGGAATTGTATCAGAAATGTTACAGTTCCTTAATTCTCTGCAAGACATGTGACTAAGTTATTGGAGACCAAGAGAAGGAAGGATGAATTTTAGGGTGTGTTTGACAAGAAAAGAAAACAAATTCAACTAGATGCCAAATCTAGATCGTCTTACAGGGTGATTAAGGACTTCATATCCTTAATAAAGTTTAGTGTAGAACTTCCATCAGACAAACCATTAATCCTCCTATATGTATATCACAGTTCACATAAATTAGTTAGCAAAAGAAATCTTCAATATACTGACAAGGGTTAATTGAAGAGAGTAGGGGTACTCACAATACTGTTAATGAAGTTAGATTAGTAAAGGTTGAAGGTATTGGACCATGAAAAGAATTTCCTTGAAACCTCCTACAACAAAAAAAAAAAAAGATTAAAAAATTATAATAGTGAAGAGAGTGAAGAGATAATAATTTAATTTATCAAGCCCCAAATCATAAAATAATAGTGATAAATTATAGGTTCAAGAGGCTTTATATAAACTGAAGTATCATAATATATATATATATATAAAAGAGAAAAACGATGATGATACTATAGTTCTCTTACAGAATACTAAGCTTTGACCAATTTCCAATAAAGTCAGGTATCCTGCCTGTGAGTTCAATGTCAGATGCCCATCTGAAATACATGGATGAAATGCTTAAAACATTGACATAATATTTTTCTCTTAGATTGTATATAGTTTCAGAATTTTCAAGTGAAAAACATTCATAAAGCTTACAGCTCAACTAGATTTTGTAGCTTAGCAAATGTCGAAGGAATGTCACCACTAACTCCAGAGCTTTCAATTTTACTGCCAACGAAAGAGATATTTGAAGCCACTAAGTATATGTGTGTATGTGCTCTACACACATGCAATAAGCTTTATGATAATAACATACTAAATAAGGATCTTAAAGAACTCAAAAAAATTTCAAGAATAATATTTGTAGCATAAGAAGCACATCATAAAGTTCAACACAATTGATGAACATTTCTTCAATTGCTAAGTACACAATCATTAGGAATGATTTTCAACATCCAAAGAGGTTTCATGCATTTAGATTAACAACCATGTAAATGCTTTATATAAATCATTTCCTTTATGTATAAGATGATATGAGAAAACATAAAAGAAGGTTTTAAATGGGTATAGACATATGAAATCTTTCCTAAAATGAATTTTGAAGATTTAAATAAGTGAATTGGTAATTAATTTTAAAAAATCGATGCAGAATACCAAATTCTTCAAAACACTAAATTGTATTAGCATACTCAATTTTAATTTTTCATGAAAAAGTTGGTTCTACTGCATTTTGTTTATTGAGGCATTCATTTATGCATCTAAATCTCTAGTAAATATGCTTGTTACCAAGCTTTCTTTAGTTTTATTTTAAACTACAGTGTCTTCACCAAATAATTATCACTGACATGACAAAATATTCCTTCAACATCAAGTGGGTTTTCTTTATCTTTGCTTTCTTCAGCAGCCTATGGGAACTCATTGTTGGACCCAACTAAGCTAAATTTCAAGTTTCTAATTACCTTTCAAATTCCATGGCTTACGATAAAGTCAACAGCATTATAATCCTAGAAGATTGAAGTGTAGATTTTTTTTTTTTTTTTAATGATAGCAATGTTACTAGTAACAGATGTCTGAAAATAATTAGTATCCAGCTCACCAAAATTCTAGTCTTATAATTATCAGCTATCAAATGAAATAAAAAAGGATTTACATAACACTGAAAATAGAAAGCTAATTATGTTGTGCATCACAACTCAACTTACAGCTGCTCCAATCTCAAACAATTCCCAAGCTCAGATGGCAAAGGACCAGAGAAGTTATTTGAAGTAATTGACCTATATAATATAATAAAAGAAAAGGTGTTGATAAAAAAAATAATAACAATAATAAAATAAAAGGTAACGTACAAAAAATCTCAAGCATTTTTGCTTTAATTTAGACAGTAACATTGACTGCCAAAAGAGTATAAAATTATGCTCTAATTACTTAGTACGTGCATCAATTGACAAAAATGAACTTATATATAATAAAAAAATGAGACAAATGGTGTTAACTTACAACAATCTTAAATCAGTAAGTAGTCCAAGTTCCTTTGGAACCTCGCCGGATAAAGCATTAAGTTCAATACTCCTATTAAATACATATAGAATAAATATTGATAGAGAAATAATAATTTATAGAAAACAAAGATGTGGATTTATGTCAAAAAATGGGAATTCCTTACAGGCGTTGTATTTGAATTAGATTGCCAATAGATGCAGATAAAGGACCAGTCAAATAATTTTGACCCAAATTCCTATGTGCAAAAATGGGAAGAAACATTATAAGTATATTTAATTTAACAAACTAGAGTCCATGTTCTAAAAACTAGAAAGTGCTAAAAAGAAATATGATCTCAAGAAATGTACAGATCGGTGAGGTGGGTCAAGTTCCAGAGTGCATCCGGAATCACACCTACAACGTTCAAGGCGAAAACTTTTCTGTAAAAATGGCATCTGTAGTAAGCAATCTCGAAATGGAACACTAAACATTGGAGATTTTGAGATGAAATTGGAGAGAGTTAAGGGAAGTTTGGGGATCACATACAATTTGGTGATGTGGCAAGTGGAGTTGTCGCATTGGCATGCGATGACGGGGTCGTAAGTACCGTAGTCGAAGACTTGGGGGTCTAAGACGGCTCCACTGCAAAGCTCACCACTTATGTTCCATCCAGCGGCTGCTAATATTCCCCATTGTTGAAATATGGAGTTTAGTATTCTCGCTGCAATCAATTGTGTTAGACAATTTTGAGCCCAAGTTCTTAAATGTTACTTGTACATCAATTTGTGGTTTTGAATTTTGGGTTAATGATAGATTTAGTCCCAAGATCTAGATTGTTTGTTAAGTTCATCCATACCCATTTTCAACAGTCAAGTTAGTTGTTTTTTGAGAGGTAGTTAAGTTTCTAGTCGTTTGATATTATTATCATTATTATTTTCATCTTCAGTTATACAATTAAAAATCTGTTAACTTATTTTACTAGCATAACTCTTGATATTAACATTTCTCTTCCCTTTCATTTCCTTCTCTTTCTTTCCCTCAATTTTTTCTATTTTCTTTTATTAATTTTTATCCAAACATAGCATTAAAGTTCAAATTTTAAAACTACTTCTTAATTTTTAATTGGAAAAAAAAAAAACTTTTTCCTAAATTTTTTTATAAAGTTATTTTTATATTTTTATATATTAATATTATAATAAAAAAATAAAAATGATATTTTTAATATTTATTTCTTTATATAATTTTTAACTCATAAATTTTTCTTCTTATACTTAAAAAAAGTTCTTTTAACTTTTTTTATACAAGATTCACTTGATAATTTTCTTATCAATTTTTTCTATAATAATTTCTTATCCAATACAAAAAATTAACAACATAATAAAAATTTAATAAAATTTTATTATAAAATTTATTAATTCTTATATAATATTTTTAACTACTTTTTTTAATGAAATTTTTTTAATAAAGTTGACCTTTTAACTGACAAAATATCCAAGTCAAATACCAAAGTTCTCAGTACATATTTTATTTAAAGCCTAAATCTCTGAATCCCTAATTTCTCAATTCCTTCTCGCATCTACCGCATACCATTTGCAGCATTCAGCTCCCTAGATTCCTAATTTTTCTCAATTCCACTTCATCATCTGCCGCACACTCTCCTTACTTCTCCACCAATTTCTGCCACACTTCACCAGATTTCCATCATATTTAAATTTTCTAATTATATATAACAAAATATATTTATATAACTAAAAAAATAATATTCGTCTGCTTTATCTTTCAAAAATAAAAAAAATACTTCAAAATTAGGTTATTTCAATAAATTCTTATTATAAAAACTATAATACCTTATTTTTAAAGTATAAATTAGATTTTTTTTTGTCTTTTCTCATAATATTTTATTGAAACGACGTAATTTTAAAATGTTTTTTAATTTTTAATAAATAAAGTAGATAAATACTAATTTCAGTAAAAAAAAGATAAAATCAATATCACATTAACAAACAATAAAAAAAACAAGCTATATATAATTACAAACTAATTACTAATTTTTAATTATGATTGTGTCAAATTACTAATACAATTCTCACTCAAAAGACACTTGGATCTCATCTTTCAATTTCATTCAATTAACACCGATGTCATCGTCTCCTCATATACGTACATTTTGGTGAATCTAAAAAAATATATATCTTTGTTTTCTCTTTTATCCATTCTGAGATTTGCTGATTTGCTTTTCAGACAAAATATTAGGGTTATGAAGAAAACTCTAGCTTGCAAAGGTAAAGAAGAACAAAAAGCATTGGAGATGTTGAGAAAATGGAAGAAAATGTATTTAAGAAGTCAGTAGCTGTTTGGGAGTGAAGAAAATGAAATAGAAAATTGCGATAAAATTTTGAAGGATTTTAGTAAGTTTTTCCATTTTTCATAAATAAACTGAATTGAAATAATGAGGGATATTTTTGTCAATAAATAAATATTTTAAGTTAATCTTATGTTTAATCTCATGAACTCCAAACATATAATTGGAGTTTTAAATAACCCAATTAATTTAGACCAATCCAATCTAATCCCATCATTTGAATCCTATCTCATCCAATCCTAACCTATGTTCCAAACGTGCTGTAAAATTCTGATTAAGCAGCAGGAGGATGATGGTCTTGCGGGGTACAGACTCGGAGTTAAATTCTGGGTTAGAAACAGCGCTAAAAGCCACCACCAATTGTTATTATTTTAGCCACATATACTACTAATTACAATTTTGGCAGAATTGGTATTCAATCAATGCATACTGATTAATATATTTTTTAATTTAATATATTATATAATATATTTATTAAAAAATTATTACTTTTTATTAAATTAAAAATAAATAAATTTAAAAATATAGTAATATATACATATACAAAAATTAGATAAATTATTAAGGGATCTAGCATTAATTTCCAGAGATATCTTTATTGATTAAGTAATTGCAAGTAATTAAGAGTTTTTTATTTTTTTAGTAAGACTAAAATACCCTTATTTGGTTACACCATAGACTCCTTTTTTTTGGCCTTTCCTTCTCCAGCTTCCATTCTTCTCTCTTTAGTTCTCCAAATTTTTTATCTCTCCTATTCCCCAGTCTAACCCAATTGAAAAGATATTTTTCTAAAAAAATAATGCCCCTTTCCAAAGAAAAAGTTTACATTTTCACTGATCATCCGGTTCATCACTACCCAAAATAAAAAAAATGAATTAATATTTCATAAAAATTGAACAACTTCCCAGAATGGTTACATAGGATGAATGAAAGGATAAATCATATATAAGCAACGGAAACCGAATAAAATTGGGGGAAAGCAATCGGATTGCGAATAAGATTAATAAAAATTTGGGTGAGATTGAATAAAATACAAGAAAGGTGTACCTTCATCAGGGTCTGTAGTTGGCTGAGATTGATTTTGAGCATTAGCAACGCAAAGGAGCTGCACCAAGATAGCAAAGGAACCCAGAACCAGGAGATGTTGTGCTTCAGATGATCCCGACATCCTTCGAGGTGATCTCGACGGTCTGTCTGGGTTGGTATATTGCTGAAGAATGAAGGAAGCTGTTGAGCAGAGAAATGGATTTTACCATCTGATGTTATATACTGCTACATCCAGGATGGAGCTAAAAATTCAAGTTACGAGGCAAAAAGTTAAAAGTTTTTGTAAATTAATTATTAGTTTATATTAGTATAATTTATATTAGTTTTTATATCGGTGGTTAATTTTGATATGTACTACTTAAATTATATATGTAAAATTTTAAATTAATTAAATGTATTTAGTTGTATTAATAAAATTAGATATATTTAGTTATTTTTAAATGATATGTACTTTAAAATCTTTAAATAAATAGTATAAAAATATAATTTATTTTTTTTAAATAAGTACATGTATCAAAATAACTTTAAATTTGAAATGTATGGTTTATATGAATAAAATAAATTTAATCATTGTTTCATAGAATATAAATTGTATAAAAAATCATATATAACTAATGTAAAAATTTATATTAGTTACATCAATATAATTAAGTAGATCTTGATTATTTTATAGTATTTTTTCTTAGACCAAATTATCATATTTTAAAAATTAATTACAAAGAGAGAACTGATTCTTTTACTTAATTCCTAAATGTTTTCTTTATATTTGAAATGGTTCAAAAATTGAAGAAACAAAATTTTGTAAAAAGAAAAAATTAATGTACCATATTTGAAATTTTTCAAAAGCTTAGAGGGGCGTCTGCCCCCCCTTGTCCTACACATTGTCTCCGTCCCTGGCTATACGTGGGGAGTGGGGACAACCGACAGTTGTTATAAATATGACCCAACTCGATGTCCAACGACTTTTAGTCTGTTAGAGATGGGAACGTCAACGGGGCTCGGTAGGATTGGGGAGTCTCTTCTTGTCTCCATCTCCGTAAATGGTGGGGATAAAGATTTTTGTGGAGATTTTTGGTGGGGGTAGATTTTATCTCTCGTCCTTATTCTCCACAAATTAATATTAAATTATAAATTTTTTTATCTTTTACATATAATTAATTAATATTCAATTATAATGAATAAAATTTAAAAATTCAAATACAATTAATTAAAATTTTTAAATATAAAATTAAATATAAATTATCTAAATATAAATAAAAATTAATTCAACATAAATAACTAAATCAACAATTAACAAATTTGTTCCAAACATAAATAAAAATTAATCCAAGCTAAACTAAAACATAAGTAAAAATTAAACCAACAATGGAGGGGAATGTGAAAATGAAAATTGAGAAATGAATTAGGGTTAAGGTTAAATATAAGTAGGGGAATGAATTGGATTAATTTTTATGGATTGGGTTGGGTTGGATTAGGTAAAATTGGGTTAAGTTTAATTTTGATTGAATTGAGTTTGAACTTGAGTTTGGGTTTGTGTTTGAGTTTGGATTTGGATTTGAGTTTTGAAAGATGAATTAAATTTAAAATAAAATTAATTTATATTTGTTTTAATTTTTGCGAGGATAGGGATCCTCGTGGGGCCCCACGAGGCGGGGAAAATTCCCCACAAAATTTCGCAAGGAAAAAATGCTCCCCATCCCCGCGGGATATTCCTCCTCGCCCTGTCCCCGTGACAACGATCCCCACTGACCTCCGCGAGAATCTGGAAAAATTGCCATCCCTAATTAGAGATGACTTTTAATATTTGGCCGAAGGGTCTATTTGCACCCTCCAATTAATTGTTTTTCACGGTCAACACCTTTTAAAATTTTTTCTCCCTATTCACACCCTCAACTTTTCAAAATCCGTGAAAAACCCAACATTTTAACGTGCCGTCACGATACCATTACAAAATGCACTACGTGGCACTCAAAACTTAACGTGACATTATATACCGTTAATAATCCAATGTGGATACTTTTTAATCCAATGTGGATACTTTTTAATCCAATGTAGACTTTTTTTTAATGACGTGGCATATTTTTTTGGTGAATAACTTCAAAAAAAAATAAAACTAATAAATTAAAATATATTTAACTTTAATTTTTAATTTTCTCATCTTCTTGCCTGTTCAAAAAAAAAATGGTTCCTCGTGGAACCCAGATCTGAGTTCCACGAGGAACCCGGAACCCAGAACTGGGTTCGTGGAACCCAGATCTGAGTTCCACAACCTAAAAACCCAGAGATTTTAAAACAGATCTGCAAAACATGTTGGGGATTTAGGGTTTGTCTTCATTTTCCTCTTAATCCTCACTAAGCTTTCCACGATCTTCCTCTTTCAACATAGTCAGTAATTGAACCTATCCGTATGATTTAAAACAGATCTGCTTTTTTTATTCTTGGCCATTTCCAGACAGTGAGTGATAGAAAATAAAGGCTCGGAGAATCATTATTTTCTATCAAATCGCCAATCCAGTCAATGGTATTATCCAGTCTTCAAATTTCCAAAAAAACACAGTACTTGTTCCCTGTTTACCTGTTTTTACATTTTAATCTCACAAGTGCCTCCGGTGCTAAGTAAAGTTGGACCACCTATCCATCCATTGTAACGAGTTCTATTCCTTGTGTTGTCACTTCTCCTTCCCCAATTTCCAGGACAGAAGAACAGTACCCAATTGAATTATAGAGCAATTAGCCATATCAAATTTGAAAAAATTGGAGTTAAGGATGGTAGCAAGTCAGACAGTGAAAATGCCTCAAAAATTGCGCTCAAAATGGAAAATAATTCCATTCACACATCTAATTGATTCATCATTCTTGCCACTCCCAAAAACGATTCAAACGAAATCAAAATTCGAAAAATGTCTCCCACCTAAGGGCAAGGCATCTGAAATTGCTATTGGATCTAGACTCCCCCCATTAGTTAAAACCACTGAAGATGAAGATAAAACAGCAAGAGCTATTGAATCCAGGGCTCTAAAAATGGAGGATGTTAGGAATCCGGATGCAGGAGATGCCTTGCGAAGAAACACCCAGGGAGGGGAAAAAGGGGAAGACTCAAGAGGAAAACCCTAAAGAGAGACCCCAAAAAATGGAGGGTTTGGTGTCGCGCAGCTATGACTCGAAACGCTTCCATGGTTAGCTGTGGAAGGCGATCTTAAGGGCTGCGCTTATAGATAGCAGACGGAGCAAATAAACCCAAGATGAAAAACTAGAAGGAAGAAGAAGAACTCGAAATATACAAACAGAGAGGCGTGAACCAGAGCCAGGAATAAAAAAAGCTTTCTGCAGATTTGTTTTAAAATCTTTGGGATTTTAGGTTTTGTTTTTTTTTTTTCGGTGGGCTTCACTGCACACGTGGATGCCACATCATCAAAAGACAGATCCACATCTGAACCTAACGAATAAGAAAACGCCACATGTGCCACGTCAATTTTTGGGTGCCACGTAGTATATTTTTTAACGATGTCGCGATGACCCGTTAAAATATTGGATTTTTCACGGGTTTTGAAAAGTGAAAGGTGTGAATAAAGAAGAAAAATTTTGAAAGGTGTTGACCGCAGAAAAAAAATAAATGGAGGGTGCAAATAGGTG